GCGAAACATTAAAGTGTCAGCTGAATCTGGGGGGGGAAAATGTGTTTGGGCGCTAAACCGTTGCTTTCCTGACCGTTGCGTCTCTGACTCTCTCCATTGAAAACGATCGGTTCACCTTAGGTAAAAGGAATCCCCCAAAAAGGGCAGGGCAGGTTATCCACTCTTTCTGTTGGGCTTCCACGGAGGACTCCGTGTGGTCGGCCCCCAACCTCTATAGACGACAGGACTCAAAATGAAGCACTACATGGTAAAGTCTTTTATATGTTAGTCAAATGTTAGTCAGGTAATTTACCTTGAAGACATGTGTTTCGATCATCACCCACTTTTGGCTTGCTGAAGCTCCAAATGCACCGTGCCTTCTTTTCCGGATTGTTTGACCTTTATATCCCTGACCTTCGCGAGTAATCGGACTTGGAAACCGACCCGTAAGGCTGCCGACCGGATTCCGTGAGGCTGTCCCGAATCCCTTCGATCGGTTGTTAACCAACATGAGAAGGTACCATTTGGCGGCCAGGACGGTCCAGCCGTACTTTTGCGAGTTAAGATGAGTTAAGACTGACTAGACTCAATCCAAAATCCACTAGCCTCAAAGACTATTGTTGAACCTTGTTGAACATGGTCTTTAGGTGACCAGAAGTCGGACATGTGTATATTATAGGACCATCTTCTACTTGGGCGGTGTCAAACAAGAGTCGGACTTCATATCGATCCCCCGCACCTCTTGGGGACCGCCTTCGGGCGTAAAACGACGAAGGCGACCCACAGGTTTAGGGGGGGAGTAGGGGGGGTTTTCCCCCCAAGCCGAGCCGCTCGTTGATCTCATGGAAGCGCTGAATGTACTTGGGATCCATAATGTTACCTCAGCGGCATACGTACGTGACCGAGAGCTCAGCGGGTCACGGCGTCACGGAAAAGCGACCCTTCGCGACCCTTCGCGACAGCGACGTGGAGGTACATGGGTTCCAGTGGGGTCACGACCCATCCCCAAATCTGCTTGAAAGCCGCTGAATCGAATCATTTAGACTCCGTACACTAACCCCATGTATTCGGAGTGCGTTTGTATCGGGGCCTCATATTTCACACTATGAGAGGTCTATTATACCTTAAACGGACGGAGCATTTGGGATGGCACTGAGCCGAGGAAAAAGGCCGCCTTTCCCTGGAGATTCAGCTCCCTTCAACGCTGGGAGCAGTCTTCAAAACTTGAAGAACATTGAACTTCCAGCAGTAATAGAACCCGCCCAAGCCAGGAGATGTCAAAGCATTTTGCTAGGGGAGGCTTTATGAATCAGAGTGCCAACTTGGAGGAGACATGTTTTCCATCCGCTCACGTGGGATCTCAAAACCGACAAATGTGGTTCAAACCATGTTTAAGACACGTGGTCTCCATTCGTGATCAAAAAACATCAGCCCGAAGCTTGTCAATACTGGCCTTGTGTATCCTTTTGTTAGCTGGTCAATGCGCAGGAAAAAAGACCACAAAGGAATGTCGTGTACCACCTTCGAATCCTGCAGAAGGGCTCAGAGCAGGGGTGCCCTGAAAACCACACATGGTATAACAAGAATCTCTCGCCCCCCAGCCCAGCACGGCTTCGATCCGCCCAAGAAGCAGTTGGCTTCGTCCACATCTGCGCAGGTGGCCGAGAAGAAATTGAAGCGGGCGTTGCCCGGCCAAGTGTTCGACACCTGCGGTGCTGTGACCAAACACTGGGATCTGCTTCGGGAACCAAGAAAAATTACTTACTTACTCCAGGAGTCACAAAGGGGTGGTGTTTAGTCCCATCCAGTGAGTGGAGTAGCTGGGCACCCCGACTACCTCCATGGATCGCACCCCGTCGAACGTGACTGCTTCCTGTCATGTGTGTTTTTGGGGCAGCCCAAACTTGCCAAACTTGATCGGATGCGACTCCTGCCCAACGACGGCTCACGGCTTTCGGACGACGCGGAGTTCGCTAGCTGCTAGCTTCTGGTATTCGAAGGTATAGCAGTAGCAAGCTATAGCAAAGTATAGCCATACTTCAGTTACGACAGCCTCTGTGGCTGAAAAAAATGAGGGAATATCATGGAATATCCATGAATATCCGCCAACCTCAACTGAATGCCCATTCGGACCCAAGCGGCATAGTCATTGTGCTCTAACGCCAAAGATCCTGCGATGAAAAAACGACAACGAGGTTCGACCGTGCGATCAAACGGATGCAAAGTAAACGATTTGATACGTCGTGCCCAACCCAGCCTGAACAAAACAAACAGAATTGATGAATTCATCAATATATATAATTTGGGTCTCTCCTAATACCTGTAACAGTGGATGATGATGGTTAGTAACGGCCTTGTCCAAAATAGTGATGATATTTGTTTACTACTAGGACAGACCCTAAATATAACCAATAATAATGTAATTTAACATCATATACAGTACCCTCAAAGGCATAACTTGGGTCTCTCCTAATACCTGTAACAGTGGATGATGATGGTTAGTAACGGCCTTGTCCAAAATAGTGATGATATTTGTTTACTACTAGGACAGACCCTTATAAATATAACAATAATAATGTAATTTAACATCAGATACAGTACCCTCAAAGGCGGTAAATCACTGTAATAACACTATGCTTATTGAATACTCACCTGCAACTGTTGCAGATTTTTGCAACCCACCAAGAGCCACCGGTATATTGGGGTTCATTCCCTCATTCGTTGCTATTCACCAGTCAGACGAAGGGATCACCAGACTTTTTCCATGAGTCCTCGGATGTTCGAAAACCTTCCTGCCAAGCACCAGACCGACCGGTCTGTGTGCCAAAGGGGCGAGTCGGCGCGGCCGACAAAGGCACAGTGTCCAACATACAGGTGCTCTCCAGACTCTGGAGCCAAATCCAAAACGCAGTGCTGCCATAGATGGACTCTCAGAAACAAAAGGGGTGTCGTGTCGTCTTCCGTTTTCTCTCGGTCTCCTGCAGGGACCCACTGCTTCTCGGGGCGCGACTCAGTGGTCAAGAAGGCGAAGCCACCGCCGCACGCGATGGTGAAAATGATGCTTCCAACCAGGCTCTTGATCTGAGGACAGAAGGAGATGGCATGGCAAGGACCAACGGTGAAGGAACCTAAACCATTCGCTCTGAAACAAATGTGCATGTCACCCTTATTTGGCCATCAATTCTAAACGGGACCCTTCCGGGTCTACTGGTTCTACCGGGCGGTTCCAAACGGTCTTTTTTTGCACCGAGAAAGATCGTGATTGCTAACCTGGCAAAACATATTCCCCAGAAGTGGATTTACCCATGATTTACCCATCAGGGAAAATTAAAATAATCACCTTGACACCAGGCTAGCTCGTTTCGGGGGCGGGTCTGTACGCCTCTTTGTCTTCGCTGCTCTCTTCCTTTGCGTTCCGAGCTGGATGAAGGTATGGACCCAATGGATCCGGGTACGAAGGCGTCATGATGTGCAGGTGGACCAGCTAAGAGGTTCGCTAAAACTGGTGTGCAAACAACAACAACAACAACCACAACAACAACCACAACAACCACAACAACCACAACCACAACAACGACAACAACAACAACAACTGTAGCAAATAGGATCAAAAAGGTGATTGCATGCCCGTCATTGAAGTTATTTGGGCTGCTTGCTTCCTCCTCTCTTCCTCCCCGACTAGCCCAAAGACCCTTCGAAATGGAGGGAACACCCCAAACTGCAAAAAGCCCGAAAAGGCCTCTGGAAGTGAAAGCCTGGTCCTGCCACCGCTGGCATCATTCAACCAAAAAAATCTTTGAAACAAAGTCAGATGATGTTCAACACTCTCGAAGAAAATCCACAAATGCGTATACACGTAGTTCTGCAACTGAATCCCTGCAGCCCCTCGTACAAAACCAAAAAAAGACGTTCTGCCGCACACCTTCTGCAGAAACCCCAAGTTCCGTATCCCTCGCTCCGCCGCTCCGCCCCCCACACCAACCTTGCATGGCCCAGTGGCCGGGTGCGTGCCAACGGCCCGTCCCACTTTCTCAAAGAAGTTCTCTAAGCATCGCTCCACGGCGCCTCAGGGGAGTCACTCGTCGGCCGAGTGACGCTCCGTGGGTTCCGCTTTCCGGGCATGGCTCTTGCTTTGGAGGGACCGACATGAGGAGGGAAGCCGTGAGGTTGATGTGAAGTGAACAAGTGGCCGATGGATTTGGAGTAGTTCCTCAGTGAGGGCGCCTCCTTTTTGTGGTGTCCAAGTCTGCAAAGATCTTCAACTCGCGCCTTAAGGGACTTTTGGAGCATTTCTTCCATCTGCCCCACCATGTCTCACCAGATCTACCCACATTCCATAACATCCCACGATGTTCCGACGTCTGAAATGGCAATGGAGCTCCAAGACGCCGATACCCATGGCTGAAAATCGAGCTACTTCCAACAGCAGGTCGAGCCGAAAGAAAACTCCCACAGCAGGACCGGCTTCAGTTGGTACGTCGTCTGGATTCTGCATGATGCTTTGAGCTCGCGGTGAAGCTCAAAGAAGGAAGGTGGATCTTAAACCAATCAATACGTCCACACTTGCCACAGGATGAATGTAATTACGAATGATTGCGAATGAATGCCATCAAATCAATCAATGCATGCCAATTCATGCTAATTCTGTGAAGTGGCATCCTCCAACTCTGCCCTGCTCACTTCGCCCTCCAAAAATGCCTCTTCAAATGTCGAAAGCCCGAGCGGCTCGTTCCTTCTCGACCCCTTCGGCTGACTTCGAGTGGATCCCAACGGTCACCAGGTCCGAACGGTCACCAGGTCCGAGCCGAACGGTCCGTGCATCAAAAAACTGACTGGTGCTTATCAGGGAATGAGGGAATGGATCCAATCGAATCTCTATTGGGGGCTCATTCCCTCATTCCCTGCGAGTCGCACCAGTCAGAAAAGACCAGTTACCAGTTCGGTCAGGAGTGGCTGTCGGAACCTGTCAGGATCGGACCTTCACCTCAAACCCACTGGGGAAGGAGCGTTGGTGCGGCACCTCATAGAGCTTCTCGGCGCAGGTAGGTCGGCTTGGCCTGCAAGTACATGCAAAAACTGGCTTGGCCTCTATGTGGTTGTCACAAGGGCCCCCAAGATTCCCTAAGTTTGTGGTTTAATGTAGTTTATATGGACTCCGACTCCTCCCATATGTTGTTCATATACGTTCAAGATATAAACAAAAATCTGGATAGTTTATGATAGTTTATTGTAATATGGATGCCAGTGTCCTCTACTCTGAAACCACTGTATACTTTAATAGCGAGACCCCCGTTGGCCCAATGGGTATTGAGGCGACATCTGGGTCTTAGTATTCTTTTTTTGGAATGCTCTGGCTAAAGGATCTCCCGATTACACACCCATGTCACATGAATGATCATGCATGTAAGCACCAGGACGGATGGATCTTTCCCCTTGAGTCAGTGCAAATCATTGAGATTTAAAGGGGAAAGTCTTGTTGAACTTGAGATTCATGGAGATCAAAGTTCTTGTTGAACCTCGTTAGACTGAGCTTTTTGTTGTTGCTTTCTCCTTTTTGTGGAAGGGCAGTCAAACACTCACCGTTAGACCCCGCAACCGGCGGGAAAAGCAGAACAAGTTGGTGCACATTCATGTCACCCAACCCTACTTGGAGGTGCCGGGTCTCCTTCCAAACACACTCCAAACTTCGAAGGGCAAAATCAGGTTCCTTTGGGATGGGTACGTTCCCTAACAATACAATATATACAATGTACAACGACAGTACAAGTACATGTTACATGATGGTTGTTTGTCTATATATATATAATATGTAGTTGTTCGTCTATCTTTGTGGGAGTGGCACACTCAAACGGCTCAAATGGCCACGGCTTAAACAAAAATCGACCAGCCCCCGTGACCCCAGTGGATCCCAGTGCCTCTCATGATGGGTGGCAAATCTCGTTAAAACCGACAAGCACATCACAAACGCCATTTTGCCAGGCTTTGCCTGGAATCTCTTATGACTCACATTGCAGTAGCAGGTAGCGGTCCCACGACTTTTGCAAATTTTTGCCACGACCTTTTCTCTTCCTCTGAAGGACTTTTGCCCTGTCGGCCTCGTCAGCCTCCTCATCTGAGGACTCCTCGGGATCCGCCACACTGCAGCTGAGCCTGGCAAGGCGTCGCAACCCCACCCGGCTGGAGAAACTCTTCCGGCGGGGCTTTGGTGAGGTGACACCACAAAGTGCACGGGGTGCGAGAGCCAAGCCAAGCAGTTTTCAAGGTTTCGGGAACTGTCTGAATGACGGCATTTTTTGGACCCTGCGGTAAGCGCAGCCATGGAACTCAAGGCGAGGATGTTTTGTTCATTTGCTTGTTCACACCCTGAAAGTTAATCACCATGATCTTCGTGATCTTCATTCTGCACTTGACAAGCACGCACATTGAGAGCAGGACATGATAAACAACCCAAAACAATTCAATAAGGCCAAAGGCCTCTGCGAGGTTCTACGATGGTTCTACAGTATCTTGCCACGAAGGGCCTGCCATCGATCCTGACCAGAGGTGTTGTCGCCCACGGGGCTGCTGCCAAGGTTTCTGTGGATCTCGAACGCGAACGATCGGCACGATCCAATGCCCGAACATCACAGCAACACTACCACCACTACCACTAAGTGCTACTGCTACTACTACTACTACTAATACTACTACGACTACGACTACCACTACGGCTACCACTACGACTACCACTACCACTACGACTACCACTACGACTACCACTACCACTACGACTACCACTACCACTACCACTACCACTACCACTACCACTACCACCACTACTACTACTACTACCACTACTACCACCACTACCACCACCACCACCACCACCACTACTACTACCACCACTACTACTACTCTTCCTACTCCTACTCCTACTCCTACTCCTCCTACTACTGCTACAATCCCCACACCAACAGTTACGTCTCCTCCTGTCTGACATTCTTGCGGTTCCGCACCTCTGTGGATAGAAGCCTGCAGCAATGCCGAGAAATCCACGCCGTGCAACCAAGCACATCGTGTCATCAGACCAACCCTTTCGGTGAGTTGTTGGTTGTGCATCCTATAGTTTCAGAGTAGATGACATTTCTCTAGAGGTGGCTCTTCCAAACAACCCTAGTTGGTCCATTATGATCTTTGCGTATGTGCCTTTGGGCCAACTTGGGCGTTTCTCGGTGAGATCCTAAGCCTGATTATCTTTTCACTACCCATCATAGCCGTACACAATTCCCATTATCAGAATATACAACAATCCTTTGACCCTCCATGGTAAGGGTTGGTAAGGGTCGCCTGAAAGACCCTCTCATTGCATCAGGCTGCATTCTTCATAACTTGGGGTGGCAGCTAAGGGGGCAAGGATGGCCTCTCTTCACGTGGGCCAAGCATCCTGACCCTTATAAGATCATATAAGACTATCGATGTCTGGCCACCCATCTGTTTTTCAACATCAACTTGCCCACAATGGGCCGTGCCTTTTGTCATTCTTTTTCCAAGATCCTCGCCTGCACCACCGGACAGCAAGGCTTGCCGCTGCTTGGTGCTGGCAGCCCCAAGCCTCAGTTGCATGGTGAGCGAAGCTACTGATCAGCTGGGTTGGAGCGCCCTCATAGCAATCCGGGCCCCAGAAATTCACCCAAATTCGATATGAATATGTATATAATATATATATATATATATGTATATTCTTGGTGAATAACTTCCCGGTTGGGTGCTAGAACACCCCCCATCAATCCAAGCCACTTTACCCACTCAATATTTCAATAATTAGATTCACTAAGGGAGGTTATATAATTGACTGATCATCACTCTGATCATCTGATAGCCTATTCTGAGCCCAAATGTTACCAGCCAATTCCTCTCGTGCCTTGGTTCCTATGAACCCATTGCTTCCGGGCTCTGGCCTCATGCGCATCAGCTCATCCCCTCTCAAACCTTGGTATCAACCTTTGTGGTTCAACGGCCGCCTCATACCTCGCCGCATAGCCATAGCATATTATTCAGAGGATTTCAGGGGAGGTGGACCTGATGAGTCAACTTATGAGTGGTATCTCAGACCTTGTTGACCTTGTTGACCTTCCATGTGGGGGGGTTATTGATCCGGGGTGGCCATTATATCCCCCCAAACCTCACGGTTCGAACCACCCCCAAGGCCAAACAAGAGACCAACCTCCCAAGGCCACCCATGGCCCAATTCGACGAACATGAACTCCTTCGACTCCTCCGACCGGCCGAAGCTGGGTGGAACGACGACCCCTTCGACCTGGGCTCTCCAGGCAGCACCGTGGCGTTCGCACGCTCCCGGGCGAGGCGCGCGTGGAGCGCCGCGGGCAGCTGGACCTGGCAGACGTGGGACGTGGACGTGCGGTGAGTTTGAAGGGGGGGGGGCGTGTAGGACCGTGTAGGAGGCCAATTCTTAGTGGGGTTTCCCGGACTGAAGAGCAGGATCGTGTTTAGGTTGTATTCGGACTGATGTTGTTTGGCGAGAAGATCGGAGAGCACATACATAAGCCTTCAAAGAGATGGTGTTCTGTAGAAACACCAGTGATCCAAAGAATTTTGGGGTGGCGTAATGAACCCTACAGGTACAAACCAGCTCTGTATACATGATAACTTAACAAAGCAACAAAAGGAGAGCAATCCCCAAGAGAATCGTCCATGGAGCCACTTCACTAAGCATCAAATTTTCTGAGTCAGGGCCAAAAGACACCAGACATATCTGGCCGGTGATGCAAAAAACATGGGGAGGCGCCCCAAAAAGACGATCAACGACACATCTGTTTCAGACCTTTGCTGTTCAATCCACCCACCCAAATGATGCAGAAGTACGACCCCACCAAGACGTCGACCCCACCAGACGTCCACCGTCTCCCCACCCAGAACGTCGCAGAGCGCAGCGCAGCCACCGCCCCGCCGACGTCACCGGAGCCTTCGTCTCTGGACGCTCTGTGATGTTGACCCCGGTGCCGAAGAGCCTGGGGCCCCGGCGTGGAAGCTGCGCGTCGGACTGCGATTGGACAAAGGGGTGGGGGACCCAATGTGAACTGCGGGCCCAGCGAGCCCCCCAAGTCAAACCACGTGGAGCTGCAGGTGCATGAGGATGATGTTTTTTTCCAGTACTGAGTCCAGTCAGAGTCCCATTTTGCACCAAATCCCATGATATCTCATGACCACTCTTACACACCTTTTACTCGCCAAGAAGAGTCACAGAGTTTTAGTATAGAACTGTTTCTTTAGCTGCTGAGTTTTGTGAAAGAAACCCCTGATGACCACCTTCAGCTGCTGCAGCCCACTCAGCTCCCACACTTGATGACCACCTTCTCTCGCACCTGGTCCGATCGGTTTGCTCCACGGATTGAGAATCAAAGGACTTCGACGTCTGGAACCGGCGTTCCGAACGTCCAGGACGTCCAACACTCTTCTAGAAGACATGCCCATGGAGAGAAAAACAACATACTGAGAAGGGCCCCATAGCAGTCCATCATACCCACAATGATGAGTGAAGAGCTCGTAAATTGTTCAGCACATGTCCTTCAGTTGATGATGTACATCGGCCAAAAACGGCCAGCTCCAGGGCCGGCCTCCGGGTAATTACTCGTTTCACCCAGTGGTACTCGCCCGGTTCTTTGTGTCAACCATTTGTGGCATCCCGCAGCACTAAGACACCGATCGGTTTTTCCCTTGTCCGCAAGGAGGCAACTCAGGCTGCTAAATCAAGTAGCCTGATGCACCCAAAGGCAGCCTTCTTCAAAGACAAACACAATCAAACTCTAGTGGACCATTGTAAATGTAGCTTCTTGATTAATTTAACAAATATAGTTGAAGTCACTATTACATTGCTTAAAACACCAATGGTGTTTAAAAAGCCACTGCCTACTATTACCTTGCGTTCGTCTACTCTCTACCATCCACTCCCTATACCACGAATCCATGCGTTACGCGACGTCACGGCCACGGCCCCGAAGGCTCGGAACATCTCCCATCTTCCTCATTCACCTCAGACTTCACTCACTTCAGGTAAAACCACTCGCAGAAGAGAAATTGGGCGATGTGATGTGAGTCACTCCGCCTGACCCTTCGTTGGCGGAATTCGTCCCCACCACATGGCCCGCGGCCTTCTGTGGCATCACCACGGAGCTCCAGGCAGTGGCCACATCGCTGGGCCTCGAGTGGCTAAGGATATTTTCTCCGTTTCATGAGGTGCTTTGCACAGCTGAAGGATTAGAAGCAGATTGGAACCATACATGAACATACTACAATGCCAAACAGCATCAAACAGCTGCTTCCAAGCCCCATCTGACCCGCAGATCCCGGAGTCGCATCCCGACGTGCACGGATCCGGATGCTGACCCCCACATCGTACATCTACTCCACCGGATGCTCCCCTGCGCCACATGGATCCGAAATGATCCGAATCAAACCGTGTTTAGTCTGAGTCTAGAAACATTGGACAAACATCGCGAAACATGGCACGGACAGGGTCCGATTGAAAATATCCGACCAACCTGTTTGTTTGTTTTGATATGAACGATGAAAAAAAAAAAACATGACTTCGAACAGGGTCCGTCTGTTCTCGGAGGTCCAAGTCTTGCGGGCAGGTTGACAAGCAGGCGCTCCTCCAGTTTTGAAGAAAAGCACTCGACAGACATCTGAGTGCGAGTAACAAAGGGCTTCGCTACTAGGAGCGATCGCACGCTACGAACGTGGCTCCTGGCCTTACTACGAACGGAACAAGCCTCGCTACGAACGGAGCTTTTTGGGGCGCTTCCTGACTTCCTTGCTGGGCCCAGGCCACACCGCTCGGCTCAAACCGCGGAACACCGGACGTGGAACACCGGACGTCCCGGCTGCACGGTCTGGAGATACTGGAGCATCTCTTCGCTGCTGTTGGAGCAACGGCCCAACCTGAGCTTGTGGGAAGTCATGGGTCATGGCACGGTCTAGTTGCGACATGTTTGAGGCAGGTCTTCTTTAAGCCTCTGAAGAAAGAAGGTGGATTCACATGCACCCAAGACCTTAGACTACAATGTAGTGAAACAACATATTGACACCCTCCCGCCAGTTCTCATCAACCCAAGCCATTGTATAACTGCGCAAAATCCTCTTCAAAAAGAAACACACATCTCACCTTTTCTCGGTCTTCTCATGCTGCTTTCACCTACATAAGTGTGTTCAGTTCTTTTTTCTGTTTGAACCACCAAGAAACAAGCCATAGGCACCACAAATGCCCCCGCAACACCAGAGCTCTACCTGCGACTCCTCCCAATATCTGATGCCTGTCCACCCCCGGTCCACCCTCCCAAGAAAGGCTTCCCTTCCGTCCGACCCCCCAGGGCTGGCTCGACGGACTATTCAGGGGCGGCCGGGAAACGCAATGGGCCCCCAAAAGCGCTCCATCTCATCGCCGGTCGACCTCGGACTGTGCCGGTCGACCTCGTCGATCGAGGTGACTGGGAGTTTACCGAACTGAATGGAGGCCTTGGTCACCTCAACCACGATCTCAAGACACTGGGAAAGTCCTGGTAAGGATTTGGGCAACTAGCAAGAGAAGACAAACCCATAAGTGGCCAACTGCAAGCCTGGAAAGGTCCTGAATTTGTGGGCCAAGCTGGAGCGGGGCGTTCGTCGATGGAACAGCGAAACGCCAACCTTTTGGAGTGACTCTAGTGCATCTGCGAGCAGAAAGGAGCGGGCCTAGTTTCTACTTTCCCGAAAGAAGTTGGTGAGGCTGGTGTAGGATCAAAAACGCAAACGCGTCCATGGTATAGACTTCAAGTTCAGGTCAAGAACATGTTACCTACTGCTGCACTATATAAACTCTTGAGTCTATTCGATATGTGCCCGACTTGTGCACCATCGCCGTCAGCCGCCCACAGGTGGGTCCAGTCCCTCAGAAAATGGGTGCAGAAGGGGTTCGCAAGCTGTAGCAGCCACCAGTTTGTGGCTTCAATCCGGCCTGCGACATGCACCACGCCCTCACAGTTGCCCAGACCGAGGCTGAGGCAGTGGAGGTTGAAGGAGTTGCAAACGAAAGGACTCCTGCGAGCGACTTCTTCGGCTTCCACTGTGCCAGCGAAGTCCCGTCCCCTTCAACTCCACTGAGGAATCGCACATCCTCCACTCCCGTCGACTCGGTACCGACGACCCGAATCCCAATCCGACGTGCGGGAAGGTCCTGGAGCCGACGGTGGTGCCACACTGGACTTCTAGGGTTCTACTATTTGTGGTGTCAAAGCAGAACACATGTCAACACGGTGAACACCTGAAGTTCGTTCGTGCAGAACACGCGAGTACCAAGAAACCGGAACGAAACGGCCTCAACCGGTTGAAACAGCCGTCCCGTCCTTTTGAAGACCCAGTCGTCATTAGGTGCAACAAGTATACAAGTATATACGTACAATATTACGATATACTCAATCCCTATTATTACCAATGACAATACCGGGTATGAGAAAAGAAACGAGAGAGTCTTGGCCAGTGTCTTGATGGATCTACAAGGCCTACAAGGCCATTTACTACTCAATCTCTGGAGGACCCAAGCTTTCGGCCGAACACTTCACCATCGGCGAACGCAATGCCGGCAGCGACGAAGCTTTGGGTGCTTTCAAGCCAAGACTTGGGCCCGGAGAAGAAAGAAGAAACGATTGGTTAACAGAACAGAACCTGGAATTGTTCAATCGGGCCATTGGGAGCTTTCCCTTTTTGGGGCCTCCTAGGGAGGGAGGAAATGAGCTGGCAGTTCCTCAGAATTGTTCTCCTTGTTCCATGAGAGGAGAAACCGTTCTTCCTTCCTTCGTTCCGTGGCATAGAAATAGGCTTAGTCTCCACCAATCTCTTGCCCCAGCGGAACTGGCCGCTGGCAGCAGGCCCTCGGCTGACAAGCAACCGGACCCTTTGGACCTCGGGTCTCTGAAGGTCTATAGTAGTCGGTCTCACTGCTTAGATCTGCTAATCGTCTCTCTCCACCGTCACCGGGTGGTCGCCACGTCCCCCCTTCTTCGCCGGTGGCCCCAAGAAAACGGGTCCAGGCCTTGATGCTGGCGAAGTCGGCGGCGCCTTGGTGGTTTCAGGCCGGAAGTCAGGCGTTGAGGGTGGCGAAGTCGGCGTGGCTTCATGGTGGTTAAAAACCCATTGTTCGATGTTAAAAATAGATATGAATGATGACAACTAACAAAAACAATAACCAATTAAAATATGCAGATAGGAACTTATATATAATAGTAATACCATGTAATAATGTAATAACACCTAAGAACAAAAGGTCTGCAACAGCAAGCCATGCTTGTTTTGTTGGTCACTTTCAGTTTCGTCCAAGCCACTGAGAGCCTCGAGTGCTTCCACGACATCACCGGCCAGAACCTGCCAACAGTTGAGCTGTTTCAAGCACCAAAACATCAAAACCCACGACGTCGCGACGTCGTGTTCCTATGATTTTGTGTTTTTTTGTGTCTTTTTCCATTGAGAATGTGGTTCAAAACTGTTTCATTGTATCTCTATTGTATCTCTTCCATGAGTCTCTTCGTTGGGTTTCTGGGATACCCCCAAAAACCAACTGCTGTGGATTATGGCTACCCCAAGCAAGCCACAGGGCCATCATGGGCCACGGGGCCAGGGACAGGACTAATGTCCATCCAACAAACCATTCGGCCCACCGTGGACATAACAATTACATCCTTTCGGTCGTTGAACCACCGTTCCAAGCGCTACTATTGGATGCTGGGTCGGGTCGGTGTTGCAAAACGACTCGACTCCGCCGCATCGGAGGAATCCAATGTGTCTCATGGAACGGAACGATGCGACGTGCGAAGCAATGGCTCCAGTTCTTCGTGCGAACGCACCCTTTCGCAAAATGTACATTGCCGGCTCCAGCGCTGCCCAAATGGCAGCGCCCGCAACCTGAGCTTGACAGCGCCACGGAGCAAGCGTTGAAGAAGCAAAAGGGCAGAAGGGTTGCACAAAAACATAAAACATAAAAGACAAAGAACAGGTGTGCTCAGTGTGCTCCCTTGAAAACATTTTGAACATGTTGTGCCTCAAATGCATTGATAGTTCTTTTGTTGAGGCGCTCAGTTGTTGTGTTTGTAGTACTCTTGGAAGGAATCCGCCAGATATTCTCCAAAGACCACCGGCGTCTCGTCCGGCGGCGTGCGCTTCAGCCGCTTCGAGAGCGGCGGGATCAACTCAGTCTCCTCTTCTTTCCTTGGGATGCCAAAAACACTGCAAGGCTAGAAACTGTGGGTTGGGCATGTCACGTATATCCTACCAGGATACAAGAGGATGATGAATGATGATGGTTAGTAACTTGCTTGTATGTTATGTTTTTGATGTTTTTTTCCATCTGGGAGACCCCCCCGGGATATCCCTCGCCCCTTGGCGGGCCGGATGTTCCGAAGCGAACCCGACCGACTTCGGAGATCGGGTCTCCATCCTCCGCCTCGCGGCACCACCATGCGGCACGGGCCCAGTAGGTTTCATGGGTGTAAACATGTGTAAACCACCATCCAACATCATGAAACCGTCCAATTCCAGGCGGATGATTTCCCGTCGGCCACTCCCTCCACTGAGTGCGTTTCTTTTTTGATATGTACCAGCGGTGCGTTACCAAGAAGTGGAGGTTACGGCGTGAACCACGGAGGTCCTTTTGGGGAAGAAGTTCAGAAGAAGGGGGTACTACATATACACCACTTGGTGGTAGACTTGGGGGTCTCCCCACCACCAGTTTGTGATGCAACACGGCGATGCAACGCATGCGTTTGGACCATGGTGTGATCTCGATGACCATGACCATGATCGCCGACAGTAGTTGCAGCACCAAGCTGTGGTCAGACATAGAAGTAAGCGCTTAAGCGCTGGATTTCACCCCATCGGTGGGCCTGTAGTGGGGTCCCAATAGAACAGAATGTCCACTCGTGGAGGATGGCTGGATGAAACTCGCTGGAGGATGGCGGACTTGAGCTGGTGGACGAACAAATTAGACGGATTGGGTCTGGTGACCCGGTGAAGGAACACAATGCCACAAGCATCTGCGTTTGGGTGGCATGAACGCCCTGGCCGGATATGGATTTGGGTACTTACGCCATGAGTGGGTGTCTATTGAAATAGGGTGGTGCAAAGAAAAACATTGGGAAGGAACAAAACATAACAAAAATGGTACAAGAAGTGGAGTTGAAACAAACACACAACTCTTAGACCAGCAGACTAGACACGACTAGACTGTATATGAAGTGCTGAGGGTGGAGGGTCTTCCCTCCCAAAATATTCACCCCCCCGGCTCCAGGCTTCAAAACGGAGTCGTAGCCCACGCCCTTGGGAGGTGCAATCGCCGCGTCCCACTGCGGCTCAATGAAGAGTGCCTCGGGGCGAAACGCGTGAAACGCGGCGCGGAGAGGTCGCGAAACGAAGGCTTCAGTGGCTTTGCTCCAAGGGGAGCGGATCTGTCAACCTCCATCCAGTGAAGAATGATGCTGGTCAGGGCTTTCACCGAAATTCCAGCGAAGTGGTGGCCCGGCGTGAAAGGGGCCCATCCGAAACCTTGGGCTGGGGACGATTTCTTGTCGTCACCTCTTCTTCGGACCGCAACACTCACGAGGCCTAAGTAGGAACACCAAGGCCGACGTGGTTGTGAGCTCCCATCGCCGAGACCCTTCCTTCGGATATGTGGGTCGCCAGCGGGGCTGTCGGGTGCTCCGAGTGATTCGTTTCTGCCTTGGTTCGTTTCAGAACGGTCAGCTGTCGGTCACCTTTGGTGCATGGCGAACCCATGAAGCCCCTGATGGAGTTACAATGGCCCAGAGCTTCTCCAAGGGTATAAATTGTATCTTTTCTCAGCCACCGAAACGATCCAAGCCAAGCTAGGCCAAGCAGTTCATAAATGAGACGGCTGACCAAAAAATGGATTGGATTGTACAACCTCATAATAATTTTAGTTAATAAAGCAGCATGTCTTTCGTTAATCAATTGCAACCGTCTACATGACTGGTCAACTTATCTCCTCATTCACACACCAACCGTCCACCCCGGTCTCCGACACCGTCCACCCGGTCTCCGCCCACTTGGATCGCCGGAGGGGCGAAGGACTCCCGGCAAATGGGCCGTTCACCCTCTCCTCGGGAGCCGCGGACCGTCGCGTTCTGCCGCTTCGGACGGTCCGGGAACGACGCGGGAAAGGCCCCGGAGGTTCTTCCGGGGACGGAAGCAGCTCGGAGGTTGGAACGGACCGGGAGAAAAAAGATGAAACACCGTCTGGCCATCCGGATGGTGCTGTTGCCACCGTGGTATGACCCGTGGTCAATCTCTATATCTCAGGTGCTGCAGAAACTTCTGCTGGTTTGGTGGAGAAAAGCCCGGGTTGAATGCAAAAAGCAGGTGCGAAGGATGGGTAGTGGATGTATGATACCATAGTTGGGTGGTACCGTCCACCACCTACCAAAATAATAAATAACTATTTTGAGGTGGGTACACCCACCTATTTTGTTATTAATTCTGACAGTCCGGACTGCCCAAAAAAATATTCCTTGAACTTTCAAGGATCTTGTCAACATCATACAACTAGGAACATGGGGGTGGGTGGTATTCCTGGGGATTTACCGGGAGATGCATAGAAAGCGTCACGAACAAGTCATTCCACACTCAACCACTAACAAATTAATTTGCCAAGTTCTTTTTCTGCTGTCATCTGCTGTCTTTCTGCTTTCTCATTTGCGGCCTACGTGAAACCATGGCGTGCCAGACTCCATTTCATGGCGCCTATCACAAGGCCATCCTTCTAAGTGATGAACTGAATTACTGGAAAAATCTCCTACATAGAAATAGTTGATTTATATATACAGATAGATATTATCTTCCCTCATCTTTTTTCAAGTCACCACAATATTATGTCTGAGGTGGTTGACTGCTTGCTCCACCAGCCAAATACAATCTGACACATCTGGCACAAGCACAAAATATCAAAAAATGCACCCTTCTCCAAATCTGGGACTCAAAATTATTTTGAAATAATTGTCCTAATTATTTTGGGTCCTTGGACTCTCGACGTGAAAATTATTTTGACCCCCACCACCACTCCCTGTTTGAAATAATATCAATGTGTAAATTATTTTGAAAAAAAATCAGTACAGTACTGCCACCTATGAAATAATTACATATGGCATCGTACATGGTAGTGGTTGGAGGGGGTGCACCCATGTTTGATGCAAAATCCTGTACATACTGGTGTCCAACCTACGTAACCAGGATGTCTTGACATGCTGGGCAAGAAGCCACTCACCCATGATTGGACCAGCAAGTCCCCCTTTTAGTACAAAGACCTTCCAAAACTAGGTTCCGGGGTCCTGACCAATAGCTTTCATCTCCCTCAGGATCCGATGCCCAGTCAGGCTTGGTCAGGCGACGCTTGGCATCGACTCCCAGCATCGAAGGGTCCGCCCTTTGCCAAGCAAAAAGAGGGTCCCGTCCCGGCTCGACTCATGGAAGATGGTTGAAGGGATCCTTCCTTCCCAGGAAGCACATGTCACAGGGATGGGACCAAACCTCCTCCCCAACCTGCTTGGCAGAAAAATAATGGAAGCTCGCGCCTTCCGCGGGGAAGACCGGAAATACCATGAAATAACCACTTGCGAGATTGATGGGCGGAGATTCTGGGGTGATCCACCCCTCTTCTCAGACCAACCCACATGTGGCTGTGGGTCGTGGCACCTAGAGCTGGTTTCACCCCCACTGCCATGTTACCTCGGCCGCTCCGCTTGACCCAGTCGCTCCGTTGATGGGAGCGGACCTGGTGCGGCGTCGCCACCAAGGCCCCTCCGCTCAAGACCTGGGCGGCCTCGCCTGCGGCGTGGTTTCCCGAAGCTGTTGGGTGCTGGGCAGGTGATCCAGGTGATCGGGTCTGGAATGCTCTGGTGAAAGGATCCAATTGTGGATGTAACACCTATTTTTCAAACTGAATCTAGGGGCATAAGAGTCTTGGGAAACCCAACAACAACAACAACAACAACAACAACAACAACCACAACCACAACCACAACCACAACCACAACGACAACGACAACGACAACCACAAACAGCAAACAACAAACAACAACCAACAAACAACAACCAACAAACAACAACAACAACAACAACAACAACAACAACAACACCAACAGCAGCAACAGCAACAGCAACAGCAACAACAACAACAACAAGTTGGCACAAACAAAAACTGCAGCCCCGTTACAAGATATTTTGTTCCTTTGTCTCTACAAGGGGGTGGAAACAAAATCTGCAGCCCGCCGTTGCTATTTTGACCCCCCCGAAAACAACCAGCCAACATGTACTTTTACCAGTAGTGGTAGTGCTTGTACTAGTGCTAGTACTAGTGGTACTAGTGGTCGAAGGAGGAGTAGTAGTAGTAGTAGTAGCAGTAGTGGTAGTGGTAGTAGTAGTAGTAGTAGTAGCACCAGCAGCAGCAGTAGTAGTAGTACTGGTAGTAGTAGTAGTAGTAGTAGTAGAACTAGTAGTAGCCTAGTAATACTAGTACAAAGTGGTAGTAGTAGTACTAGTAGCAGTAGTAGAAGTAGTAGTAGCCTAGTAATACTAGTAGTGGTAGTAGTAGTAGTAGCAGTAGTAGAAGTAGTAGTAGCCTAGTAATACTAGCAGTAGTAGTAGTAGTAGTAGAAGTAGCAGTAGCAGTAGCAGTAGCAGTAGGAGTAGTAGTAGTAGTAGTAGTCCGGCCAGCTAAGCCTCTATAAAACTTCTACTTAGAACCTCTACCAAATCCTAGAGACTGGCTTTTCTGGACCCCCCCTCAAAAGATGTTGTTGTCTCTACCCCCCCTAGAAACAAAATCTGCAGCCCCGTTGTTGACCCCCCCCTCCAGAACAACACACCAAAAAACATCAAAAAACAAGAAACAGACCAACCAAGGCTTGAGAACCACAACGACAAGAAGTCCAGCTACTAACATCTCTCCAAACCTTCGACCCTATCCCTAGTACTGTAGTGTCCCTTTGAAATCCCTGACTTGCAACATGTGACAACTATGTTGGGCAGCTGTTTTTTGTCCCCAACAACAACAACACCACCAGCAGCAGCACCAGCAGCAGCAGCAGCAGCCGCAGCAGCCGCAGCAGCCGCAGCAGCCGCAACAGCAACAGCAACAAAAACAGCAACAGAAACAGAAACAGCAACAACATGAAGCATCTTCACCAACAAACAGAATGGTCTACCATGCTCTACCCAAAAAGCAAACCCAAGGAAACCGCCCCCAAACCATCCGCACCGGATAGCGCTCTCCCCTCAGGGCCTATCTGAAAGCCCAGGCAGTCGGAAGGCAGCGGCACGCGCAAGACACTCCGGTCGCGTCCACGGACGTGAAGCCCGCCAGTGCTGGAGAGGCTGGTGGTGGATGGGACCTCTTCCCCGGTATCTTCATAGAGCCACATCGCAGGGACCAAACCAGTCAAGACGCTGTTGTCCTAGATGAAGGGCCACGGCGAAAAGGAACACGGCGCAGGCGCGGCGCCAAGGGGGTGATTGATGGGAGGACCTTTTTCTGCGTGTCAGGAGAATAATCTTTGGGGGTGCATGGAAGAAAATGGACGATATAGAAGGGCTTCCGATGCTTGCAGTAGGAAGTCACTTTGCATGACTTAGTAAGAGCACTTCTTCGATTGATGGTGCGAACGTTTGCGAACGCCTGGTCGAGCATGCGACCGAGTGTCGTTGTGCCAGCCACACCAGGCATCGTCCGTGGAGTTGTCAGGGGTTGGTGAGAAGTAGTGTAGTAACCTGAACCGCAGCGATCCAGTGAATCTACCACCCAAAATAGCGTGTGGATGGATGTACTTTTATATATACTATATACCCAAACTCTGTGCAAGTCACACACATCCAATGGAACATGAGGTCTGACATGAAGACAATGCCGACTAGACTAGACCCCACAAGCGGTGGTCATCTACCTAACAATTGAACCCCAAACAAAGGTGTATGTAACAGTAATTGACCTTGACCTGCTCCAAACTACTGTTCACCGACCCAATAGATATTGCCCAATAACGAAAAGAAGAATAACGTGTCAACCATCAACTATAGCCACCAGATAAAGCAATCTGGCATAGACAAAAGCAGTATCTGGAACCAAACACCCACCTTTTGGAGGTCTCACCACCTATATAATATCATATCATTCAGAAAGATCGGCAAGAATCGTTGGTGTGAGCCCATACGTAAGCAAGTCCATACGTGTGAGTTCTTCAGTCCAGTCACCGGCCAGCGAGCATCTTGGAGTTCTTGTAGGCAGCATCATGCAGTTGCTGCTCATGACTGGGATATTGCGACTGGACGAAGCGATCGCAGTGTTTCACCAAATGCTTGCCACAGTCATAGACCTTACCGCAGTGAAGGAGCTCACGCTCCGTGACAAAAAGTGGGAGCCCTGCAGGTCTCCTCCCAAGCAAAGCACTCAGCTGCCCGGGAAAAACCTGCTGGGACTCATGCTGGGGAGTTACTAGGAGCAAGAAGCTACGAACGTAACAAAGGGCATCGCTACGAACGGAGCAAGAAGCTATAGTATTATTCTAGTCTGTCAGATTTGTGAAACAACAATTTGGAGAGGTATCTCGGACGTGACTGAACCATCCTTTTTTCGCCCAGGCTCTAGCTGCCCCATGGCTTTGAAGGCTGCCTCCATTTCAGGCACCTCCTTTTCGCAAGCCAAGCACCCTGAAAGCCCGTAGAATGTGCCAACCAGTGTCCAACAGTCACTTTAGTGTCAAGAGAGCTGAGATCCTGCGATTACCCAGTTACCAACCCAATTCATCACCAAGCTGTTTGTTCACAGAAACACTGATGGGCACAGCGTGTGTACGACAGCGACAGCAACAGCAACACAGGTCTCCTTGGGCCAAATGTTCCGCGTCGCCGCGTAGGGGTACCTAACCGGTCCCAAACTGTGGCAAAAGCTTTCTGTTAGAAGCTTTGACATGCCTGTGCATCGGCATATCCTGTCTGCCTATTGGATACTACTGGCACTCTGCTTTCAAGTGTTTCTCAAACAAAGTATAGATATCCAAGTTGCAAGCTATAGCCAATTTGGCAAAATTTGTGATGCCAAGCAAGTCTCAAGTTTTCTACTAGCACAACAGATTTGCAACCACATGCAGCGCACAGAAATAATAACACTACATAACACTGCAGCCCAGCCGAGGCGCTTTTCTCGGACCGCTTCATCCCCTTCCGCTGGATCATCCCAGACGGGGTTCGCGTAGAAGCTGCCTTTGGCCATGTCGGGCTTCCCCTTGAACTTCTCCTTGGAAGAACTTCCACGGTCGTCAAGTCATGGGATCCGGATGAGGGTCGAGGGTCTGCTTTCGCTCGAATGCTTGCTGCCCAAGGTGGACGATGGATTCATGCTTGATCTGATCAAACCCCCCGGGAAATCCAGCATGGTTTTACATCTCTCTGCCCCTGGGAGCTTTGAACAGCAGACTGGGAGTCCAAGACGCATGACTTTACGTCTGACTCGGTGAACCCAATGTCAAGGAACGTCCTGAACACTTCAGTGACCCAAATACAGTAATTAGTCTTTGGATGTCTTTGGGCTTAGAGGTCGACCTTGTGTTTTGAGCAAGCTCTTGACTTGAGACCACTGTGTCGATATATCTATGGGGTCAGTTGGTCTCAACCAACCAACCTCCTCGCCATTTCACCCCCTCCGTCTCGGGTCTTTTTTCAACCAACGCACCCCAACAAATCAGCCAACATCCGTCTTTCACCTGGGGGCAAAGTGGATTTCGTGCATTTTAGTCGGTAATGCACGAAACAGATCTGAAGAGATTTCACCCTCCCCAGTGCATCTCTTTTCCCGTGGTCCGGTCGCCGGTTCGAAACGGAGCCTGTTTGGACGGGAGCGTGGGGGATCGCTCCGGGTGGGGTCTCGGCCCAAGGGGCTCGGCCGTGGCTCCAGCCCACGCAGTAATGTGCATCGGCTCGCTCATAGCTCTCAAGCACGTCTTTGGGCCTTGGGGGAGATCTCGCTTCGGCCCGAAAATGGGGATCCAACATGGGAGAAGTCCGGCGAGCCCTTTTGAGGGGATGGACGAAGCAGTTCCCTGGCGGGTTCCCAGTGGGTAGTCCATAATGAACTCGTACTCCCTTCACCTTTGCTCTTGAATTTGGTGCCACGTTTCCCACTCACGTTTCCCACTCCCATCACGGCCCATGGAATCTGTGTCCAAGCTTTCCAGCCTCCCCGTGTCTCAACGCCCCCAACAAACACCCCAAAACGCCCCCCCCAACGGGCCCGGACATCAAGGCGAAGCGGCGGCACCACCGAAACCGCCACCGATTTTCGGGGGTCGACCGAGTCGACCGACGTCGACACCGTTGACGTCGTTCCCCCACGAGAACCCCCACGCTGTTGAAGAACCGAGCTGTACGTGACATCGGGTGCTCGGGGTCCGCTACAAGGGTTGGATGTCGACATCAAAAACACGAGAGCCTCCTGGAGTGGGTTAATTAAGCAGAAAACATCCCTGTCCATGAAAGAGATTGAAAGAGCAATTCCCCGTGCCCACCAAGCTGCAAGTGAGCCAGCTTGTGTGCTAAAGGTAGGAGCCTGCAGCCAACCACTGCTCTTGTAGGTCAGGCGATTCCTATGTCATGTTATCACCTTCACCCCCCGCACTGTCCCTGGACAGCCTGGACGATACGATAGGTGAGAAGCTTGCCAATCAAGAGCGGGTTTTTGACACCTCGTCTCACATGTCGTTCACTCGTCTCACATCAAAAAATGATGCCAAACCATTCTCGACCAGGCTCCACGACTAAAGACATTTTAAGAAGAAACGCGCCGTCTCTTGGGTCACAGCGGACGGGATATCAAAGAAACGTCTTCTTTGGCGCTATAGCACTCATAGCAGTTCAAATCGCTTTCCTCCCCAAACACACTTGGACGCGCCGCCCCCGTCCACGCCACGCGGCCTCTTCCGGCAGTCTTCGAGGCCCGGAACGCCGCGAAGGGCGCAAATCCCCAAGCCACCAGGGCCATAGGCCTGGCGGGTGAGTGAACGCTCGGTTCGCGGTCGGTGAGCTCGCGAAGGAAGCGCTGGAGGATGGAAAAGAGGTGTCATTTTGGATGGAAAGAGATGGGGGGGGGGGGGCACCCCCTGTGCATTGTCCACTTCATGCGATGGCCGGGATTTCGGGTCCCATCGGGTCAGGATGTCGGCCTTGGGATTGGACGGGTCTCCTTCTGATCCTGGTGGGGTCCATGATCCGGTCAAAAAGAGGCTGTTTTGAACACATCCACTTGCTGGGCTCTCCGTCCCAGGGTGACGCGAGCGCTTTCTGTGAATCCCGGCGGTATCGGTAGAGATAAGGTGTGAATGATGTACAAAACCATACAAGCTATCATTGGGCAGAATGGAGTCACATTTGAAAGTCATATTCCAAAGAAGAGAGTGTGAGTGTACCATAGTGTACCTCATCGATCTCGGTGACTCGATCGAAAGGTGACTCAATCTCTGTAAACCGCCGAGTTCGGCGATCAAATCTCGGCCTTGGCAATCTCGGCTTTCAAATCCTTCCCTTCCACCACGTCCTTGTAGTCCAAGATGACCTCAGTTGAACCATGTTGAACCAACCATAGGGGCTCGAAGTCCTTCGACGACCGATGGTCCGTTCTTTCACCGAGGTCGGTTCTAATCCGATTCTCGGGCGCAACAAACATGTCGAGTTCGGCCGACAGGTCACGAAAGCAGGACATCCGAGGATGGAGGTTCTTCATTGGTCTCAAATGACGAGTAGCGTGGTTTCAGAGTAGATGTGCCATCATGTGCCATCTCCCCACTGGCACCCCAAGAGGTTCTTGAAAAGGATCGGGGCCCGGTCCCTTTTTCAACCACCCCAACTGGAGGAGGGCTCGAACATGCCATCGGGGTGTCCGGTGTCCTGTCATAGTAGCTGCATGTGAGGGGTCCCTGCTCTCCAAGCTCCACAAGGGGCTCCAAACGTTTTGGGATGACGACGTGCGTCGCTCTTTTCAGCTCCAGTCGAGATGAGAAGCCAAGCCATGGCCCCACCCTCCGCAACTTCCAATGACATGGCTTGTACCTGGACTTCGAAAAGGACAACCCCCCGGGCAGTGGAACATGAACGCGTGATATTGTGTGATCCTTTGGTGAGTCGTGTCCCTTAAAGAATCTTTGTTAGCTACCTCTTAGCCCTCCATCCTTGCCAAATCTCCGGCTTCTCCCACTCTCTTTCTCCACCTCTTCCAAGCAACCACCTCACTGGACGCGCTTGTGCCATTGGAGGCCATGGCGTTGTCACCGGAAGCACCAGAAGCGTCGCGCGCAGCTTCACCCGTGTTCCGAGCAGCCACAGAGACCCCCCGCTGTTTCGGCTGGCGACGAAGGTCGAGACGCATACAGCACGACGAAGCTGGGCGGAGGCGAGCGAATGCGGGTGTCGTGCATCTCCAAGCTGCTAAGCTCGGGATCTCGACCGGGAGGGAAAACTGGATTGAAATGGTTCTCCTTGATGATGTTTGATGTGCCTTCCCAAACCCAGCTCAGTGAGATAAGCGAGTCTCCAGGACTTAAGATGCAACGAATCGTTGTTTCAATCAGATACATTACATTCGTGTAACTGCTTTTGGGAGAAAGGGTGAACATTGGCCATGCCTGAAATGGGAGACCGTACACCCCCCGACACACCGGGAGTGTAAGGCACCCGGGACGTCCGACGGTGCAGTCACCAGTGACTACACCAGGGTCCAGTTGGTCCTCAGGGTCCATGCGGGGTGAGAAAACCATAGTGGAACACTGATCAGCCACGTATAACCAAACAGGAAAAAAGAACTCTCTGCATGATTCCGGCTTGGCTGTCCTGAGGGATGAAGGAAGCCTTCTGGAACCCGACATCACCTACACAAAGTCTTCCTGGAATATGGGAGAATTGGAGACCGTCCAGAAAAATGGCAAATTGGTACACATGTTATATAGATTCCATGGTCTATATCTACTTCACAACGGTCATACACTAATAAAAACTAAATATGGTTACAGACGGCCAACACTTGGTGCACAACCAACTAAAAGAACATCAAAAAAGGGCGAGTGTGAAATCGCTTTAACAGGTGTTGCTGGTTCTCGTTCGTATCATTTGTCAGCTCCAGCTACATGTTCAGATTCCACCTGCGGTCCCCTTTCTTGGGGGGCCCCTCCGCTTGCACCTTCTCACAGTGCTCCTCTGCTACGTCCGGCGTGGCTACTTCACTTTGCACCTCATTGCAAAAGCGTCGCTTCTGGGCAGCCCGGTACAAACCGATGCGTCGGGCCGAATGGTCCTTCCTGCAACACGGGAACCACTTCTCCTCCCCACGTGCGAAGGGTGCATCCAGCGGTAGCATGCCACCACTTCCTCCACGTGGTCCAAGTGTTGTTGCGGAACATGTAAATCATGTAATTCGCTGTCACTTGCTATGGCCTGGATCTACCGAATCTAAATACAGTACTATAGTCACAGGTTACTTTGAACATGCCTTGTTGAATGGTTGCGGAGTTGACGGACATGTCTGTTCATAGCTTTCCACGCATTCAGTTTCCTGGCTGGTTTGGAGGGAGCTGGAAAAAGCTGGTCACACACATGGAGCGGGGAGCTGGCTGAGGCGTTCAACAAAGCCAAACATCCCGCCACCGAACCAATGTCAAACCTTGAACCTCCCCAGTTGTAAAACATCTAATCGGTCTTATTCTATTCTCCCTAGCACTGCGCGACTTTAGAAGACCTCGCGTCGCAAGTGCCTTTTTGATCTGTGTTGGGTCACAGCGAGACTCTAAGCAAACCGATCTTGCTCGTGCAGCGCGCCACAAGCCTGCTCCTCGCAGAAGACGGCTGCGCCGCAGCGGCGGATTCTTAAAACGACGTATTCAAACGATGGCAGTGGCACTGCGGATGGTCACGTTGGGCGGGTCTGAGCCCCTAGGCCCTAGCCAGTCGGCGTGGATCCCGAAAGAACTTGGAGAACAAAGTCTTGACACGGCCACGGCCTGATGACAATCATCTGAGATCAACATGTGTGCCTTTCTCCACCCATGTCACTCTGCCTGACATGACCCAGAGCTGAAGATATAAAGGTTCCAGGACAAAACACCCATGCTAAAGCCAGGGAGCAAACAAAAGTATATGCAAAAACAGAAAGCCTTCCACGGGGTTTCCAGAACACTCAGCTCTTTGATCCTCGCTTCGCTTCCTTCACTGATTCACTCACCAATCACCAAGCTCGCCCGCTTCTCGCTTCCGGCACTTTCTGAGAAGGTGTTGAAGCACTGGACACACACGTCGTAGGACTGCGCCTGAAACGGTCCGCACATGGTGGAATTCGGCCACACCTTTAAAAAATCGCTTGGTGTGGAACATAGGGAGACCTCCCAGGCGTTGCGACCCCGTGGAAGAAAGGAAATAGACAAAAAAAACCATTGGTTGGGGGTCTCCGAATATTAAAACACACACTCGAATAGGAGCACCCGCCAGGAGCATTGGGGCAAAAGCGCGAGTGCAGGTCAGTGTCCACCACTGACATCTTTGACCAGCTTCCCACACCTCTTTGTCTGCGGAAATCCTTTAAAATAAGCACTCCTCTCATACAATGAGCATGTGTTAAGTGACTAGGGGCTTGCGGAAAAGGCACCAGGCCGCATGGAAACGTGGCATCCAAACGATTTTTTAAACACGACCAAACGACTTCACACAAGTACAAGTACCAGGGCTCTTAGAGGTTATATCAGAGGGGCGTCCATTAACCACCCCGACCGTGGGTCCTGGTACATGGTCAAATCTGCTGGGTTACCGTTGGACCTGCGAACCCGCCCTGGTCGGAGCGGATTCCGCCTCCCTGAGTCCAAGCTGTCTTCCCCCCTGAGTCATGGACGTGGAGGATGGTGTTGGCACCATTCTGACCTGGACAGTGCCGGTGGTTGGCTGCATTCTGCTGCATTTATTTTTTTGGGGCGGCGGTGCCTGACCCTCTCAATTCTTGACAATCCACGGTTGCCATGCATTGTACCTGTCCACTCTTGGTGCCGCCTCCCTATCACCTAAAAAACAGTGAACCACCGACATTGTGAGGACAAACGTTGTTGAACTGTTGAGCCTAGGGATCGCCTGTGGTCGCTAAGAATCACAACGATTCCGCGGGGCGGCATCTTTAAATCGTTGATGAAACATTCTCGGATAGAGGGTGGGTACTTGGGAATGGGAAGGTTAATATGATGTATGATACAGTATGTTACAATAATGTGCAAAAAATATATAGACAAATACATAATGATTATACAATGCTTCATGATGTTTCATGTTTGTTCCAAAACGCGAACTTGCTAGTTTCGGCAACCCAAAAGCCCACCCACATTCAATACGTGGTCAGCGGACGAAGCAGTCTTCACACACCTACAACATCCGACTATCCTTTTCATCACGCCAAGTGACAAGTCCATAGTTTCTCCTGCGAAATTCACACGATGCCAAGACAAACCACTAGCCCAGCATTCAAAAAGACTATACACAGCAGCCGTAACAATAAAGAAAACGATCGTCGATAAAACACCTCTTTTCTGATTGCCATCTTATAAGGTTGGATAGAACCCTGGTTTCACAATGTTCCAGTGATGATTCGGCTCAATTGTTCAAGAGGCTGGAGGTGTGTGACAGGTTGCAGTGACGGTGTTGAATGTCCGGGATCTGGGGTCGGTCAAAATAAGTCTGAGACGGAACTTTGAGCCATGTGCTTGCGATGACTTCGGGTAGCGAAAATACCGTGTAAAAAGAGACGTCTCAATAATTCATCATAGTGCCAAAATTTTGTTCAACTAAATGCAGTACCACATGCAACCCTCAAAGGGCTCCTCTTGGATGTGTTGATGGCACAGGTCGCAGGTCACAGCTTGCCTGGGCCGAAAACGCGAACTGCTTTGGTTTGATGCCAGCAGGGAAGCTGCAAGCTTGCACACCGAACCCCAAACATGCTATGGGGATGGGATATGGGTGCGGCTTTGACTTTGCAACTTTTCATGTATAATATAACCCCTCTACAGAGACCACATTTCCTTGTTCAGTTGGGGTGTCTTGTCTTCACTTTGCATCACACCCCCTACATTACATCCACCACAAGTGTCAAAAGCCGTATTCAGTATTCCCTTGGATGGTCTGGTTGACGGGTCCTTGTTCCTTGGAATATTGTGTGTGTATGCGGCTGCTTTTTTCTTAGCAGTCGTGGTCATGGTTTGCTGTTTGTTCCCCATCTGTCAGGTAAGGGTCTTTGGGTTTTGACAAAGGTGTTACTCTGCCATCGTCCTCTCCCCTGTCCTCCTCCCATGTCGTCATGTCAGAGCGAGTGCCAGCACACCATAGAGAGCACCAGCTCAGTCTGGGCGCGCACGGACCTGCACACCAGTCAGAGTAGGCACGGAAGGACCCTCATATCATAGAGACTTTTCCATGAATCCAGCTGTGCGCCCTATGCTGCTCGAATTTGAGCCAGGGCACCTCAAAGTAAGACCAACGCAAGACATGCCGAGAAATGCTTTGAAAGCCCGCCGCTTTCCCATAAATGCGTGGCTCCTTCATGAATGGTGGGCCAGCAGCGCTAGCAGAACATCTTCTCTAGAAGTGGGAAAGGAATGAAAGCTCATGCATGTTGAAATGTGCTATGTTGGCTGGCAAAAGGATCAGTTGTGGATCAAGGCTGGCGTAGACGCGTCTTGGGGAGGAACTAATGTTGGCGTTGAGCTCCTCTCGGGTATTGGCGCAGGAATCGGAAGCCACTTCAGATGCACCAACCTGGGAGAAACGCAGCAGAAGTAGTAGTACTAGTCCTGCTGCGTTGCTTCGTCTCTTGCCTGAAGTGTTGAAGAAGCCTTGGATTTGAGATCTTTTGGGGCTCGGTGACGCCTAGCTTCCGCAGCATGCCCGCCAATAGGCCATCAATGGTTCGCAATCTTGCCTTGCTGCTTGCGCCTTATACTGGAGCAAGTTGCCTGTGGGCCATTGTACCCCACAGTCGCTTCTCATCAGGAGCATGCACTGATATGGGACTCCGGATGTGAATCCGGGGGAGTGCCTGTGCAAAACAGGTGTGTCCATTGGGGGCCTCCCAATGCGACGCTTCGACGGCCGGATGTCCCGCAAACGATCCCCAAGTCCGAAGGCGTCGACGCGGAGGAAGGCGCGGAGGTCGATGCACACGGACCGAGGTCGACGCCTCCAAACGGACTCTGAGAAACGAAACCAACATCCAACAACTAAGAACAGTTGACGCTCCCGGACACCACCTGTCTGGGATTGGACCGATCAGGCCAGGGGTGAAGAGGGGGCAGAAGATGCTTTCCTCCCAGACAGGTGGTGTTGGGGAACTACATCGGTACAAGTTCTGTGGAGGCTGGCGATGGACATAGAAATGAAGGCCCAGACCGGCGCGGGCCGAGGCACATGGCAATGAGGTCATCGACCGAGAAGCGCTTCCCCGCATACTCGAGGAAGCCATGCCTTGGGAAGCGCTCCAAACGTGGGTAGAGCTAGGACGTGGGAGGTCAGGCAAATGGAAAGCATTGCAAAAACCTTTTTGGGTGCTTGGATGTGCTTGGGCACTTCAATGCTTTTTGGGGGGAGCACCACCACTAGTTTAGTTTAGACAAACATCTGAGCTAAAAGACTGAGCTTCCACTTAAGGGTTGCAGCTTGGCCACATGAGGACCAATCTGCTCAACACAAACCAAAGGAAAGCAGCGAAGGTGGCCAAGGATGTTCCAGCTTGGAGCCAAGGATTTCCGTGGTCTCTCCAAACTGAACCCTCAGATCCTTGGGAAGACCCCTTTTGCCGCATCCACGAGCGACACCGACGCTGCCGAGGAACTGATCCACCAGGAGCGACACCCGTTGCCGCAAGGGCAGCAATTCCTTAGGTATGTCGTGTTTATTTCATACCAAGATGAGGTTCCTCAGTATGAGAAACGATTTGGGATCTCCTCATTCCTTGGTATTCTGTCGTATGTTGAACGAGGAGATCCCAAATCCAGTGTCGTCTCGTGCTGTATCTCGTCGGCTTCTCGCTTCTCGGTCGTTCGGAATCCGTCCGAGACGTCGGTCGTTCGTGGTTCGTGGACTGGTCGTTCGTGAAAAGCGATTTGACCCCATCTATTCCCCACTGCAAACATGCATCCAGGAATGAGCATAGCAACCTGAAAACCCAAGCAACCAAAAACAGCTCTGGTTGGTCCAATATGGCGTTGAATCCTTTACATGGGATGGCCTTGGGAGTTCCATCCAGTTTCCATTTCTGGTTGGGACTGCGTGAAAAACGAGAACAATCCACCCGTTCTCCACACCGCCACACCGTAACCACGTGTCGGCCTCTGTGGAGCTGAGAATCCAATTCGCCCCCGCACACGCAGCTTTGCGCCCCTTCACAGTGCTCCCGCCGCCGCAGCAGCTCCTGGATGGGACTGGAACAAGGCGGGGGTGTGAGAGGGACTGAAAACATGCGTTGAGCTTGTGGTTTTGTTGAACTGCAGGCTGTGGTTTTTCTAGGACGACTTTGGTGTATTCCTCGAGGTGGTCTGGTGTTCTTTGGGAATGAGGGCAATTGTAATTCGTTCCCCGGGATGGACCACACTGGATCTCCATTGGACACCCTGACAGGAGGGTGAAAAGAACCGTTCTTCCACTAAACCTGTGGGTTGCTTCTCCAGCCATGTTCAGCCCTCCCCCCGATCCAGCGGGGTGAGCCCGCCTGCTGTCGGGGTTTTGCCTGGCGCTGCAAGCGGTTTCTCATGTCGTCTTGGGCATTGTAGACGTCCGTCTTGAAGATGCTGCCCTCGACAGGCAGGTCCGGTCCTCTCCCGCACCCACTAGAGTAGATGATGATATGATGATGGCACCTCAAGCGCAAACCAGCAGGAAGCCGCATCGAACACATCAGAGCCAAAGGCTCGCAGCAATCCTTTGTGGTGATCCAGCTTGGCAACCACCATTCCAGGACCATACTACAAACCAAGTTTTGTATTAGCTGCTTGCCAAAAATACTTTGGGACAGCATAGGTCAAACATTGATTACGATGCACTGGCTGGCTACCTTTCGGTTTTCGCTATGTGATAATCCCGCGTATACCGTATACATACACAAAAGAGATTATAAGATATATCAGCGATGTTGCTCTGAGATGCTCTGAGAATGTTTTCTCATCGATCATAGTCTTAGAATGCGTAAAGCAGAGATGAGTACATGGTCTAGTACCGGCGCGCTAGCTCAAGCCACATCTTGCAGTGTTCCAAATCCTACCCTGATTAAGTAACCATGGTACTGTATTGTCAACGCTAGATTAACTCAACCCCTCCTAATTACAAGCGGGCCCGCAGGAGTTGATTCACCCAGGATGGAGCACATAGCATTTACATTCACATCGAAGCTGACATGTTCTTACATGTAGACTCTGGATGAACTCAACCCCTCCATTTGAATTCATTTGGAAAAACCACCGGCCTTTCCGTTTTGGGGACTCAAGAGTCTACCTTAAAAACGACCACACCGACCTCACCCACCGGGCGCTGGCCGCACCTGCTGTTGCAAGCGGACCTGCCCCGAAACGGGCCGGTTCGGTCGGTCCCGTTCTGGTCGGGCCGTGTGGAGTGGTTCCTCCGGTCGGTCCGGTGGGTATAGATGTTGTTTTTCTTTCAGCGTCCAAGAGGTCTTTTCGCCCAATCACCTGATCATCACCTCCCAAAGATCAGGTGCGGATCATTTGTGCGACCTCCTCATATGTTCGCCAAATCGTTAAAGGTTGATAAACCATTAGTGTTTCGCCCAGGCTAGGAAAAGGAGCGACCCTTGATAAACCATGATAAACTGATGATACACCTCTCAACATCGAAGGTTATTGAAATGTGTATAAATCCTCATTAATGCCCTCCACATTCCTCATCGCACTCATGTCCTTCCTTTTTGGATGTCCACGCCTTCCGACCAACTGTGGCAGCTCTATGCAGCTCAAAAGCCGTGAAAGTCACCTACTCGCATGTCCTTACTCCCTGAAATAATTATGTAAATTATGTAAGTGGAAAATAGAAACATGGTCCATGCCATCCACTTCAGCCTTCGAAGACCTCTTCCGCCCCCAAAACGGGACCTTCCTCCATCATCTGACGCCATCTCCCGTCTGTTTGTTTGATTAACCCTCCACATTGATGGCGTGATCTGGTCGTGGAGCTGTTGGCTCGGTTGGGGAAGCTGCTGAAAAGGGAAGGGTCGGTCCAAGCTTCCCGCCCTGAGCCACTTGATCGATCCAAACATACCAAGCTTCATCAAGTATCAAAACTATCCTCCCTTTCAGTCTATCCACTTCTGCACATCACCCTCCAAAGCAATCCATCCATCACTCCCTCAGTTCCAAACCTCGCTTCTCCCTCCCTTCTCCCTCTTCCCAAAAAGACTGGCCTTCAGCAGCTCTTCACAGCCCAGCTGCTCCCAAATGAGTTCCACATCTTGCAGCCCGTTCACCTCCAAGATCCTTCGGTTTCCGGGTCCCATCCAGGGGCCGTGGATGTGACGATCGGGCACATCCTATCTTCCGAATTCAGGCACCCCGCCACCAAAACTCCTGGGGAGAGTTTGTGCTTTGTCTTTTTGGCCCACCGGATGGATGGCCCTTGAGAGAGCTTCTCCCCAAAATAAACGTGCACAGACTTCACACTTTATACATATTCAAGGTGACATCTATAGAGAGTTGTGGATGCGGGATTCTTGTTCCCAGGATGAGAGTGTTGGATGTATGGTTCATAGATATCCGGATATCACGGCACATCTGGCAGCACCCCGCAGCGGCACGAGCGCACCCCAGACTGCTTCGGCACCAGCATCCCTTCCTACTTGGAAGTAAGAACCCCAATAGCTTGCGCCAGCGACTCGGTGGAATCTTCTACGTTGCGTTTTTGTTCTGTCAGATTGTAAATGTGTGCTGCTCTTTCTTTGAGCGGTATGAAATAGTAAATTCAGTAGGATTCTCGATGTCATACTTCATGACAGCGTCCCATGTCTCCAAACTAGTTGAATCTCGTTCTTTTAACAATGAAAGTCTCAATGAGACCAGCAATTAAGGTACTTCTTTGGTTTCAGGAGATTATGCGTAATGAAAAAGGCATTGTAGTGCCTATATTTAAGTAATTTGGATTCTTCCATGCCTAGTATCTCATTTTTCTATCTCTAGGAAATGGATGAAAATCACTCCTAATACCTTCTGCCATTAATTTAGTTTCTTTGGACATGGTACAAATTTTGAAAATCATATTGATATACAAATATGTCCTACTGGTATTGACTGCTGTTATTGATGTCAATAAAATTTCTATATAAAATACGATCCTTAATACAAAAGTTTAATAAATACATATAAATAATACCTATATATAGCCTATATATAAATCTTCCAGCCATCCCCCCAAGCCCCCCCTCACCCCACGCCTCGCCTGTCGCCCGGATGCAAGCAAACACCAGTGGTTTGATCCTGGAGCCAGAAGAAAGTCGGTTGAACACCAAAGAAGCTTCCAGTTGAGCTCTGAAGATGTTTCAGTCATCCCCCTTACTTCATACAGTTCGGTGGGTGAGTTCGATTTGACGAGGCATCTGCAGTTTTATAAGCCTATAGCATCCTACAACTACAATAATAATAGCATAGCTGCCACAATTCACAATGTTTACATCCTCAAAGGATCCTTAAATCCCAAGGCAACCAAAACAAGGCATGCTCCAGAACTGCGAAAACGGCGATCACGGCGACGCCATGCCGTTTCATCTGGGTGACTTGGAGTACTTTGGGGCCACGCGCGGGCCGGCCGCGCGCGCCTCGAAAGGAGGCACACCGGACCCCCCCACTCTATACCGGTCCTTCCACTTCCGGGCCATGCCCACATCCTCGCGCACCAAGAGACGGCCCTCATCCACCTCGAAGGTCTGCGACACCGAGCCGCCGGACACCTCGCCGCCCCGCGGCATCTCCAAATTCAACACGTACTCCTCACGCCGAAGAACTGACGCAGGTGGGTGGAACCCCCAAAGGACGACGTCAACCGCCTCTTCTCTGGCCTGGTCCGGTCCATGGTCCAAGGCCAAGGCATCGACGCTAACCGGGGCCCCGCGCGAAACGAAAGTTTCTTTGCAACACATCAGATCATCAAGTGCAAAGTGGTCAAGCCCCTGAGCTTTTGGTGTTTTTGGAGGTAGGCTCTTAATAGGTCACCTTGCGCTTGTATTGGCAAGGCCAGACTGAGGAGAAAAAGTTGGTTTGGAGCAGGGCCGAAGCGAAAGCGACGTTTCTTCTCTTCAGCGGATCAAGCGGGCGACCGCCTTCCAAAGATCGCCCTGTGCGTTCCAGCGAAACTCAAAGCTGTAGGCATAGCTCCACAGCCGTTGCGACACCACCCTGGATCCGCTTCCATCTCTAAAGTCTTGGGCATGGGCTTTTTCAACAGCTTCCAGAAGTTGTCCAAAGCTTGCGTGCCGGCCACGGGGTCTTTAGTAAACTCATGTTTGCTATGGTTCACCTCCGCAAAAGGCAGGTGACGCAAGAGGACATGCGCTTCCAAGCTCTGTTACCAAGACACAACGTAAGACGAAGTTCGGTACTATGCTGCATGTTTGCAGCTGTGTGTGTGTGTGAAACGGCGGAGGAAATAGACCCCAGCCAACCCCACCCCCCCATAGGAACACAGTGTGTATACAGTGTATACATACGAAGCTGAACCGTAGGCCCCGCGCATGTACATCCAATTGTAAAAACGTCTTGCAAACTACCCGAAAAGTTATAAAAGAAAATTGTGGCTTCGCGCGGGGCCCCGGTCAGAAAGAACCCATGTCCGACAGGTTCCGATGAGCGAAGAATCCCCCGAATCAGCTGGGTGGAAGATCGGAAGATCGGCTAGGTTTCGAACCCTCTTCACGTGCGACGGTACTGCCGCGGTGTGGGACATGCGTGACATGCGTGTGCACGGTCCATTTTTGGCGGAGCCCGAGCATCCGAAATGGGAGGTTTTCTCATGCCTTCAAATGATGGTAATCTTTCGGTGACCGGCGATGACAAGGAGATGAAAGAAGGAAGGATCACGGCTGTGGATGCTGTGGCAATTGCTGCAATGATACTAAATGGATCTAAATAGGTTGCCTGTGAAATACCTGGTCCAATCACTTTGCATGGTCCGACAGAACTGCACCCGAATCAAGTGTACAGTGTAAGAACTAATGGGCCTATATATAGGCATCTAATTATATGTTGAGCCGTGGGCTACAAGATCTATAAGCTTTTGGTTCATCTTCAACATGTGTTCGTGTTCTTCAGATTCGACCAGTTCTGTGGTCACCGGATTTTTATTCGCAAGACAGAAGAAACAGTCCCGAGAGACGCACCGCTCGCGAGTGGTTGAGAAAGATCGCACATGCCAGGCGGCACCGTTGTGCCCAGGCAAAGCATCTGAAGGCAAAAGTCATGTAGACTGATTGATTCATGAGACCCCCTATATGGAGATTGGTGTTATTCATCAAATGTATCAAATGTAATTACTCATTACCATGCCATACAGTACCACATCTCAGCAAACAGTCTCACACGTCTCACACATCATCTGCGCACCTGCACCTGCACTATCTTCACTCTCCAACCGAGCTCCAAAACGGTTCGTGTGGGAGCGTTGAAACACCCACCCATTCCACCCATTCCCACCCCCATTCCCACCCATTGCTCCTTGAAGGTCAAGGTGAGCGGAAAGCTGTTCGCATCGAGCTCGGTCATGGGATGTTCCACCAGCTTTGGGTAGCGCACCTGCACCGGGAACCTGAGTCGGAGGCCGTGGCCGGGAGCGGGGCCGTCGTGCGGAGTGCGAAGCGGGGTGCAAGCCACACGGGCCGTAGTGAGGTCGAGAAAGAGCCACTTCGCCGGTGAACGAGAAGGCGTCATCTGTCTGAGCCGTGGAGCTGTGGGGGGAGAATCCACAGTGCGCACGGGGCGCCGCATAGCTTCTGACAAGTGCCCCGTGAAAAATGCCTCCTCAAGATCCCCAATAGCCCAGGGATGAACTCCGGGAACCTTCCCAACGCTACAGTACGAACCTAACAAGAAGCTACTAGTAGCTCCTGGCATCAGGTGGAGGCCATCGCTTCTAGCTTGGAGGCCAAACCGCTACGCGTACTAGTTCCCGGCACCTCCGGAGCCCCTAAGCACCGCTCCGAGGGGCTCCTCTTCTGCGGGTTCTCGCGGATAGTGGACCTCCTCACCGAGATGATTCAGGACAAACCAATCCTCGGCGTTCGAGCGAAGGTCGCGGTCGCGAAGGTCGGTGATCTGGAGCAAAGGCCGCTGTGATGGTGCGTGGATGGTCCGAGCGCGAGTCTGCTGTATCATCTGTATCTGACTCTATACTCCTTACCTGACAAGATTGTTTTTTCCGGGAAAATGGAGATTAAGCATGCTTAACTGATTAACATGTTTCCATCTGTTGGATCGATCTAGCCATGCTGTTCATCTGTTGAATTTGAGTGAGCTGTCCCACCTGTTGCCTTTCAAAAGGTCAAAGCATATCCCACTTTTCCTTGGAGACGCGACCTCACTGCCTGCGAGACTTCCCCCGACTTCTCGTTCACGACAACGGACACAGTTGACGCCCCTCCCTGCCTCAAGCCTTCTGTGGGTTGGCACCATTTTTTCTTGGGGGAACAGGAAGCCCCTTAAGGTTGGTGAGTTGCACCAGCTTGCTTCTCCTCAGCTTGCCAACCGCCCTTTTCAGCTGTTCAGGTTACGGTCCGTTGCTACCTACGGTCCATTCACCTGCTTTGGCCCCTGAAACCCTGCGGCCGGGGGGGCGCCACTTGGGCTCGGTCGCTTGCCTTCCAGCAACGGCCAGAGGCTGCCTCAGGCGGCGCGCGGAGCCAGGGGCGGCAGGGCCACCACCACGGGGCCGCCATGGTGTGAGGGCAAGAACAGTGGGCAAAACCGCATCTGAAGCGCCGTAGACTGATGTAGACGGTGGATGAATCAAACCCGCTTTTAGGGATTCATCAACAGTCTACAGTACAAAGCCCGTTTGAAGGTTTGTTCCTACTCCCCCGAAGTGATAAAACATGGGACTGGCATTTTTGTCCTACCTTCTTGTTCTTGGCTGACATACAAGTACATCCGGTATGCTCCCCTCAATCTTTCTCACGTCCCCCACCTGCGGTGGCCCACGTGAACTCGCCCCCCCCCGCGCCTTTGGCCTTGGCCCAAGTCTCCTGGAAGGCAAACATCACCTGATCTCGGCGGCAAAAACGATCGAACGAACCACGAAGGCCACGGACCAGCGGACCTACGAAAAAAAGAAGGAGGTCTTCCACCGGTGCTACAGTACGGTGGCAGGCGAGCGACTCTCGGAGTAGGTAGCGCGTGGAATCTGGCAAAAGGCCCATTGAAAAACCATCTGTTTGTTGGGGAAATGAAGGGTCTTCGACGGGCAGTTCTTGGCCACTTTCATGCTTCTTTCAGGGAGTGTATATTACTGTTGTTGTGTTTCTTGTTGACCGTTGTTGGTTCTTCTTGGTGCTCGGTTGTCGCTTTGGTTGTGGTCCTCGTTCTTGTTGAGTCGAAAGGATCTGAAAGATTGAAATTGTTGAAATAATGAACTTGGAAGAGGGATGTACAGCACATAATGTCAATATGTGTAACCGCTGTCCCCAGCTTGAATTCTGAGGGGAGGGCAGGTCAGGTTGCCTTGTATTTGATTCACAACCAAGAGTTTTTCCCAGATCAAGTGCACTACGCGCAGGAACCCGAGCAAAGCACGAGCAAAGCACGTCTAGCAACCCAAAATCATCTCCAAAAAAAAGAAACGTGAACACTTGGGGAAAAACCCATGGAGCACCTGGCTTTGTTTTCACCCACTCGAAGCGGGTCCTTCAGAACTGTTCCGAACTCGTGTCGCCGTGGACCCGACATCCCACCTGTGGCTGCGAGAGAGGGTAGACGGAACGACGGGACGAACACGGTCGAGAACACCGATGGAACGTGACATTGTGTAGACTTCCGTAGACTTCAAAACGGCCCATTTGGGATTGGGAAACACTTTTTGATATGGGGTGTGTGTTTAATCAAGCTACATGGCCAGTACTTCCATCCATGTCCATCCTCTCTCCCCCTTCTCAGGTTCCAAAGGACTAGGCCACGGCCCAGGTCCAGATTCATCCAAGTGGCGAAGAGCTTTGTCAACTTGCCCGATTGAGTTCCTCGGCTTTGCCACTTCAAGCAACATGAAGTTCCGCAACACCGATGCTCCCAACATTCGACAAGGGAATCTTTTGGGGGTGCTTTTGAAGCTTTATTGCTTAAATGGCTGAATCAAACAGCTGGGTCACAATGGGGATGGTGTCCTCCATGCAGGAAACCCTAAACAGTGCTTCCATGACAACCCTTGAAGGGTTTTGAAAGAATTGTTCGAAAGAAACAGAATCGAAAACCCCGCCTCTTTTGTCGGTGCTGAGGCTCTAATGATGTCTACCTTACGCATAGCTGAGGGCAGCCTATGGATCATCATGCGAGAAACAACCCAGGCAATAAAAAAAATACCTTTTCTTGGAGGCTGCAGGGTCTTGTTTTTCCTCAGAAGCCACCACCACCGCAGCTCCCCAACAACGCCGCGTTGCAGCTCCATCGACGCCGAGCCGCGTGCGATGAACTTGAAGCCTTCGTCGCAGCGCTGGACGCTGTGTTGTCGCAAGATGTCATCCAAGGTCTCCAGCCAATTCTCCTCAGAGGGTCCGGTCGACCGCACCCAAAGGAGTGCCTCAGTTGAGGTCCCAACCCGAACCAGTCTAGCCGCTTCCTATGTAAAAGGATCTCAGGCAAGGCAAATGAAAACATGTTTTATATATATTATATTATATTGTATATTAGATATTATATTATATATATATATATATATGCATTTGTATTTTATATTATATATATATCATATAAATATATGTATGTATATATATGTTATATATATATATGTATACATATGTTATATATCTATATATATATATATGCATTTGTATGCACATCAACAGCCACTTCTCACCATGTAAGGAGATCAGTTTGGCAAAGGACTATACAGCTCCTGCAGAGTGCTCTTTTAATGGCTTCCTTCAATTAAAAAAGGGGGAGAAGAGCATGAAAGAGCCTGCTGCCCCTCCATGCTATCCTCCATCCACCCCTCCTCCCTCGTCCGAGCAGCGAAGCGAACCGTTGCATCGGCCACCCGCGAGAAGACCAGGCGCCCCTCGGAGGCATCGTAGTCCTCGGGTCGAAGACGAGACGAGACGACGGCCCGTGGCGAAGGAGAAGGACCCGACCGATGCGACGGAGCAGATGACGACGCGGAAACCGTTGACGAAGATGAAACATGAAATGTAGAAATGTACTCTTGATCATGTGTCAAAGCCACATATGAAGAGGTGGCGGTGGTGGCGGTGGTGGCGGTGGTGGCGGTGGTGCTGCTGGTTCAATCCAAATGCGGCGGCTACTTTGGATCAAGAGTCTAGACGAATCTAGACATCATGTGACACCCTTGGTCGATGCACTTGATCAAGTCAGTCAGGTTTGATCGCTGATGAAACCGTGGTGGCCTACTTGCTCGCTCGGCCTGAAGGCCTTGATCGCTGAAACATGTCTTGGTCGCACCCTGTCCGTTCGGGTCATGGTAGTGCTGTGACAAGGCTGTGGCTCCAAGAACAGTCCTGACTTTGTGTTATCAGTTCTTTAAAGCTGAAATAGACGTGGGAAACTCAAACCCTGAAACCCCCAATCCCACGCATTACAGTATACACTGGGGACGAACAAGCCCAGCCCACAAGAAGCAGTGATCCGCAGTAGAATACGGAAAATGGATCAAAATGGATCTACGACCCCAATACGTGCTGCCCAGTAACCCCGTATACGAGCTGGATTCAGTTCTCCAAGTACGTACGGAGCTGCGAAGAAAAAAACCCTGCTATTATTCTTCCCTCGTTGTAGGACTGGTTTTAGGATTCACTTGGCTTCTCCCAGGAACAGGGACAGTTCCAAAATCACCCGAAATCCACCCAACACCCCACGCAAAAGCGTGGTCTGACCCAACCCACACCAACCTGGCATCTGGGCTGCTTCCTTTCGTTTTCGCGCTTGGAGCTGCCTCCCCCGACGCCGTGAAACCCATGCGTTTGACCGAATCGATCCTGGACGTAGACCCCAGGCAAACCCGAATCCAACCCACTGCCCGCTGGGCCGTCCGGGGGGCGACGCGGATGACCTCGCGACAACTGGGGCAGCGTGGCAAGCCCACGTTGCTCAGGGAGGTCGCGAGCGTGCGGTCCCAGCACCGCTGGCCTTGGAAGGAGAGGCCAGGAACGCCAGGTCTGGGGGCGAACTTGGAGGAGGTTGGGGAGGAGATGGGGGGGAGAAATGGTGAGGATCCAGGGGTGAAGTTGGGGAGGTTGGATTGGTGGGTTAAGTTGTACTAAACTACTGAACAACAATATACAGTACAGTATGTATGTGTATGTATATATATATATATCATATAGGTAGTAGTGGTTGTAAGAAGTATGCCAGGATTGTCAATTGTAGCATGATGTCCTTCCAAATCTTCCTGACGATACTACAGTAAGTAGCGAGGGAGTGTTGGCATGACGCTGCTGAAAATGCCGTACATGCACAAACCATGCCTGAACATGGCTTCAACACCATTTCACACCGAACCATTTCTGGCTGCAATGCATTCCTTCCTGCTTCTACGTCTTCTCAACTGCAGAGTTGGCTTGGTGTGATCATGTAGCATCCTGTGATTCTGGCGGACCAAGCCCTTCTGATCCTTCTTTTGCTACAACACCTAAGCCCTTAACGAGTTCATCCCAGTAGGTGCCGACCACTGGGGGAGGAAGCCCCTGATTGGCCCATCAAAGATCGCCTCATACTTCAAATATATTCAATTACATACACAGGAAGACTCCGAAACTGAAACTCCTGGATTTTCAGAAAGCAATGCAACATCCAAGCAGGGCCTTCAAGTTGCCACCAAGAACCACCAGATATAGGTACTGGTCCTCCACTTCAAGTCAAGCCTTGCAGGGTGCCACCCAGCCGTCCCCAGCTGTGCGGCCACGGCACAGTAGGGAACTTTACCTTGGCTGTAGGTGCAGAAAGAAGACACGTTCTCCACCAGAAACGGATGTCCCACCCAGGTTCGGAGAACATCAAGCGCCCCCCCTAGCCGGAAGCCCAACCAGGTGACAACTGCAGGGGAGCTCGATCGCTCCGTTCAGCTCCTGGCCGGGGCTGGTGGGAGGAGACCAGTTTAGGGAGGGAAATTCCGTGTCCTACTACGACCAGTCGGGAAAGAGACTCCTCCAGCTGCAGACCAATTTGTAGGATACATCGCATGGTGCTCTTTCAGACCCTGTGTATGGTATGAACTTATATCTTGGATGTTGTTGGCCGTTGCCCAGGAAAACCCTGCAACTACCACCTCCCAGCATCTTGTTTCTGAAGACGGGGGAGGTTCTTGGGGCCCTTCTCACGTGCCACACCTCGTTTCAGAAAAGTTCTTCAAAACTTAGTGACTTAGTGGAGATGTGGAGATGTGTGCAGCACTGTGTGCACTGATGGTTATTTCGTGTAAATTCTGGTAGGGACCCAGTCATGTCCCTTTTGTAATGTTTCTTTCCCCCCGAAGTGTTCACTTCACCTCGTTCGATCCTTTCGTGACTTTTTCTTCACCGAACTTCATGGTGATTTCCCCTTCTTCATGTTGACCACTTGGACTGGCCCTGATGCTCGGCCCGCCCGGACCCGCGGAACCCGGATCCACGGCTCCACACCGAGCGAGGCACGTCGTTCCGTCGAGCGCGACGGAGGCACGTTCTTTCCCCCGACCCTCTGGAGGACGACGAGGTCCAGCACCTCTTCGGTTCGGTGATGATCCAAACGGTACCCGGGTCGGTAGCGTCGATCGATGAACCCATGCCGATCGACCCGAAAACGCCCAAGTCGAGCTGGGTCGAGCCGCTGGGTTGGTTTCTGTGAAGACGCCGCTTGGTTGTCTGCATCATTCAATGAGGGTCACTTGCACGCCTTGCATGCAACACTGAAGACACAGCGGCACCCACTTCCCTGCCGGCTCCTCCAGATTGCCAAAGCACACACCGCAGGTGTCTTCATGCATGGCGGAGACAACACGCGAAGGCTTGAGCGGGGCTCATGCCCTAGTTCCAAGATTCGGGTTGTTTAGGCTTTCTATGGCTCTCTACAACTCGAGCTGTCCTACAAACTCGAGCTGTACCCCCGTGAGGTCCAGGAAGACTCGGACCACAACCCTCTCAGAATCCTTCTGGCAATGGTTCATGCTTGGCATGTGACGGCTCAGCCTGCTGTTCCTTTTTAGAAGGGGCCTCGTCCAGTGAACGGGTCGGCCAGTGAACGAGCAAATCCGGTGCTGGAATTCCCCGACCAGCTCCAGCTTGCTGAAGATGGTTGTTTGATGTTGTTTGGTTTCCAAACCCTCATTGTGAACATCTGACCGGAAAGCAACCTCCCCTGCTGCTACAACTTCAAGCAGCGAACAGCCTGTGACTGGAAGGCCTTGTGTAGATGTTGTAGGCAGCAAAGTCTAGAATCTAGAAGCCTCTTGAGAATCTGTGATCGAAGTAATTGAGGACATGCTCGGCTCCTCAGCTCCTCGGCTCACGGACGCGATAGTCACTCTGCTTAAGCCACGGAATAACAGTGCTCCCATTGCCAAGCAAGTAGGGGAAGCGACCATCCACACACGCCGTTTTCATGCGTATTGCAAAACTTTGTCCAGTATGCATGCATCCTGCAGTGAGTCCTTTCCCACCTACCCTTGGTCGTTTTGACTGCACTGATATGTGGGAGATGCTATTCTTGTAATTATGTTACAAAGAAAGCAAAAGCACAGATCCCATAAATCATGACAAAACAACCTGCGGCTCCAGGCGTAACAAGTGACCGTGAGGACATTGGAGATTGATGAGACGGAGGCACCCACCTCGGCTTTGTCAACGCAGCGAGGTGCTCCAGAACTTAATGATTCGACTTGGAAACGCGGCGCGGAGAACAAGGCGTTTCACAAGTTCCCAACTTGACTTGGGGGATGTTCAGTTGAGCAAGCAACGTTAGGATGGCACGCAGTTCACCGCTCAGGAATGCAGCAAGCAAGGCTGTTAATGTATGGGAGATACGTCAACTACTGGCCACTGCTCCCCATGGTCTGGGCAGTGCTAACCAAAGGTTGACCCACCAGCAGGTTTCGGTCTACAGAAAATCGGAAAACGAATCCATATGATGCTGATGTTTACCCCAAGTACAAGTACAGTAGAGCCAGTGTCCTCAAAATCTGGCTGACGCCACTGGAGCACATACGACTATACAAGATTAATCTCAGGGAGTTTGCTGGACGCTGTCTCACTTTTGGATTGCCACTTCAGAACACCAAAACCAATTAAGAATAAACCAAACATAAACCAAGTAATCCAAAGTTTGCCGAAGTGAATATCCACCTGGATTGCCACATCTTCACCAAACATAAACCAATTAAGATCAACCTCGCAGTGATCAGATCGCCTTCCTCCTCACGGCCATGGCCGCCTTCCGTCCTGAGACATGGACCACATAGCCCAACTGCAGCTGAGTGCGGAGGACCGCAAAGGCCACTTGGTTCAGCACCTGACGACGTCTCAAACGGCCGCGGCAAAACAAAAAGGGCCAGGCCTCGTCCAAAACCCAACGACGCCCTCATCTGCCACGACAAAAGCGTGCGTCCGGCGATCGACCCTTCCCAAACGACGTGGGGATTGAGCCTCCAAAACGGTGGAAGGCCGACGAAGCGATTTCCCGAAGGTTGTCTGGATGCTTTTTGTTTTTCTTGGAAAGCGACGAAGGTGTGCGTGCGAGATGGGAGATGAAGGGAGAGGACTTGGAGGCAACAAATTCAGCCCAACACCGATGGACGGCCGGATCCGATCATCCTCAAAGCATCCAATGGACAGGCAGGTGTGGTGTTTCTCAGAAAGAGGGAGCTCAGAAAAGTGATGCATCTCGAGGATGGTGGATGTCTCGGTCAGGTCCCCTCTGCGCTAGCAGCGAATGCTTAGTAAGGCCCTGGAGGTTCCCTCGCCAGAATCCTGACCTCATCTCTGTGCAGTAGGTCACTCACTAGCCCTAGTAGTAGTGGCGGCGCGGATTTTCTGGAGGTCTCTGAGTCCACACTGCCGCGCTGATACGCCCGCTTTTTCCTGCCTCCGAGACCAAAGCCAAGAGCACCCGCTGCTTGAGGCTCACGGCGCCAGCCAGCAGCGTCCTACACCGGAGACGCTGTTCGGACGCCGCTGGACGGCGCTTGGCGCTTTCAGACGCAACACGGACTGCAGAGTCCATTTCCCTCAACGCTCCGGACATGGTGTCTTGCTTTGAGCATCCGAAATTCAGGTGACAAGGCCGCAAGGGATGACTTGCAGTAGCTTATATATATATATATATAATTGCGTCGTCTTTTTGCCAAAGAATGCCAAAATCACCAGCCATGCTCACCTCGCGCTCCCGATTGGTCCATGCTCTACGTTGCTCCAGCCCCCGGCTGCAACCACTGAGCATCCGGACATGAGCATGGCATGTGAATGGTCACCTCGAGGATTCCTCCAGACCGACGCGGTGTTCGGGGTGCTCGAGACATGACGGGGCTGACCTCAAAGCTTCAAGAATGAAGTAACCTCAAAGCATCCGGCATTTAAAGTATTTGATCAACCCCATGCCCTTGGTGGACTATGGGTCATGATTTGTTCAAGCCACAAGCCCTAGAATAGGGAGACGGCACAAAAACCTCTGGAAAACGATGTTTTAAAAAGACTAAATCATACTAAATCCCATTGGGCCAGGGCGGTCCCCGTGTGGAACATACAAACCCACATGAAGACTCGCATGCTGGAAGAAAAAAACACATGCACCAGTCACTCTACCCCTTGCGCCAAAAAGGTTCCCCTTTAAAGAAAAATACACCCTCCCCCCCATTGAAGCCATGCAAATCCCCAAAAAAAAACCGCTTCGACCTCACCGCCCGCCGTGGACCCACCTGGCTCGCAGCTCCACCAGCCCTCGTACACGCACCACACGCTCCACCTGGCTGGGTGGACCAGTTGTGGCTTCGTTCGAAGCTTCTTGGGAGCCTCTGGGTGGGCTTCTACCTGGGGTAGAATCCGAATCTTTGGGTCTTGGTAAGGGGACTGCTAGCTGTGTCAACACAGTGGTGCATCTACCTTGGGTGGGATGGTCAACAAAAGGCACGTTGTTTGGTCTAAAACAAATGTTCGAGGTCAGGATGACTTACCAACGCGACGAAGCCGTGAACAGGATCAAATGCTACACCTCTTGGACCTACTACAAAGCAGTCGGGTCCAGCCTTCCTCTTTGGAGTGGCCAAGAAGTGTGTGTTTTGTCCAAATTCACCCACCCAATGAAGCCAAATTTGGACATCTTTTTGTTCTGATTATATTTAATAAATATTTATGGGAATAGTTTTTTTCTTTATGCTAACGGTTCTTTTTTTTATGCTGGATTTGGGTGGGTTCTTTTTTTTATGCTAACGGTCTTTATTTTTATGCTAAGGGTTTT